TTTGATTTTACAAAAGTTACAATGAATGTTTTTTTGAGCTAGTGTTTCTGCTCATGAAATCTAACTTTCATCAATTACTGGTGTGCATGGACTGAATTGAATGTCAGTAACTGTAAAGTTGAAATTTTTCAGCATTTGTGTGTAGTAAAAGGAGGACACTTTTCCACAAAGACAAAGAAGAGTTTTCTGAAGGTCAAAAGCTGCCACATGAAGTGAAGCATCTGTTGTGGATTTTTCTTTCATTTCCTTTTTCATTTAACGCACCATGTCCTTTTATTGGATATGCTTACCGGTAGTTTGATTTTCGAAATCTTCGCCAGTTAATAGAGATTTTTGCATATTTTGAAAGCTGAAAGCATTGCTCACACACATCTACGGTATTTTAGGTCGGTGGAATTTAAGATTGAATTTTTCATTGGATATGCATAAATAAAAATCATATGATTCAACTGCAGAGCTATTTTCTTCGCACCAAATCTCATACATTCTATACATTTCTCGAACAGTCAGATACTCATGAAGATATTCCCACTGACTGTCTTTTCTCAAATAATGTGATTCATCGACTGGAAAGAATTTTATATGAGTTATAAATGGCTCCTCCCTTTCCCTGGTGACCTTGTTGTGGTCACCATCTCTCCCTCTCATATCTTTCTTCAGTGAACCAGTAGCTGTTAATTTTCCCGGTGATGTTTCCACCCTTTTTCTGCTTATATTCGGGGGAATCTAAGAAAAGTTCTTAAACACTTGCACCAACTCATTGCTTTCTGGATTTAAAAAAGTGTAGACTCTGTTGACCTCTTGATTACGTTTTTGATCAGTCTTAGTATCTTTTCTCGGACTGCATCTCATTTTTTGTATGTACTGAGACAATCATATTCTGGTTAGATTTCTTATCAGATGCGATATCGTAACTGAGTAAAGTCCTCTGGCTGGTTCACACTGGCTTTGCTTGAAAGATATATTTCCGACTTGAAAATTCCATAATTATGTAAATTTTAATAATTTAAAAACAGCAGTTGGAAAGTGGTTATGGCAATGAATTATAACTTTCTCATTCCCTCTACTGTAAACATAAAAAACAGCTAACACTGAGCTATGACTGAGAGCTGGTATGGACTTAGCGCTTTGTATTTTATTTGATTCAAATTTTTGGGAGGAGCTATGTCCAAAAAACGGACTTAGCCCCGACTTACAATGCAGTTATCCAGAGCTAAGTCCACTATAGTAGACACAGCTCTGTTTAGTTCTCAAATGCCCTAAAAAAGCAGGGTTATGTCCATAGCTATCTTGAGATCTAGAGCACCTAGAGATAAGGCAAATAGACCAAAATGTAGAGCTAAGTCCAGGAAAATCAGCAGTTGAAAAATGTCATTTTTGGGAAAAGTGGACTTAGCACTGTTTGGTTTTGATGCGTCGATATGGCTGTAGGATAATGCAAGCTTATTAGACTAAATAATAATAAAATGATTTGATTGTACGTAAACAAGCATGGTCTTTAGATAACACAAGCCATCATACAGTGATATAACAAGCATGGACCTAATATAAATCGAGCTAAATGTAAGCTAGGCAACTGTAATATAAAATTTGGTAGTCCCGTAGCATGTGTACCAGGTTAGGCCATAATTTTATTCCGATTTTCCTTTTTTAGTTCTATTACGAGTTTAGAGACTGCCTGTGTTGGTCAAGTGAATATATCCCCAGCCCATAGATTTCAGTTCCTTTACACAACTTGATGTAAAGTAGGCGTTAGATAGGCTACCTCCATATTGGTACACACACTTCTGGAGTGCCCAAAATCGTGCTTGGGCCAGACATCAATATACAATAATAATTCATAGAAAGAAAAGTACCAGTGAGATGGGATAGTTGAAATATATCAAGAAAAAAGTTCCATCAGGAATATTTACATTCAAAATTAGTTTTCTAGTTGAACTCTTCCAAACAAAGTACTAGGATTTATTAACACTAGGGGCATAGCCAGGAATTTTCAAAGGGGGGAGGGAGGTTATAAAATTTGTGAAAATAAAGTTAGACCGTATAGGTGAAAGCATTTCAAGCTATGGAATAAACTTCTACGTATGATATAGAAAAATGCGGCTTCCCTTCCCCAGTAAAAATGTGTGTTAAATTTTGTTTATCTTTTGATTTTGTATGTTATTTTTTTGCTGGTTGGAAAAAATAAAATTGACTATGACTATATCAAAAAGGGGGGTTTCGACCCTCAAACCCCCCAATGGCCACACCCCTTATTAGAACCCCTAGTAACGATGTGGGGTAATTTACAATGGCGCATCCCCCAACCCCAAGGTTGTCGAACCCAAAGCATGCTTGGCATGCTCTTATTTAAATCTGGAGTTACATTTCCCAAAGTCTCCAATGATGATAAAAAAAAATTTTCAACTCTGACTTGATTGTAAATTTTTTACTCCCCAAATAAAAAAAGTTCTCAATGGAATAAAAGCAAGCATGGAAAATAGCTAGATTATGTTTTTCTTCAAATTTGCCATGTTTTAAATGATTATCTACTTTGGGCATCGATAACCAGAATCAACGAAGCATGACTAGCCAGAATAAATCACTCATGAAAGAAATGTACCAATTCTGCCACGTCACACTTCATTAATTTTTGAAACTAGGATAGAATCCTAAATCAAGTGTGACTGGCCAGAATATTTTCCTCTTAGAAGTGCCAGTGCTGTCAGGTCACGCTCCATTGATTCTGCAATTAAGTTGAGCTGTACAAAGGTATCCTACTAACTAACAATATAAATACAACTGCAAATGAATTGAAAAGATAAAAGAATTTGTCTGAAACAAACATGTCAAAGCCCACAATCTGGACCGAATAACTGTTTACATACCAGAAATAGGCTGGTACGTGCCAGTCAACTAATCTCCATCAAGACATAGGCTAGGAACCGGGTAAGAAATAGGGTTTGCCATAGTATTTATTATTACCTTTCCATACTCCAAGACAGTGTTTACCAATTTATGGGTCGCTTGAAATTTCTTTTGGATCACTTGTTTTTGAACAAAAACAAAAAAAAGTTACTAATATTACGTTGTTTAAATTTTATTGTTCATTCTATATTTAGTATTAAAGTGTTGCTCGAGAGTAATTGTATAAATGTGAGAATATCACAGCATAAAAATTTTGATTAAAGCAACACCACATGAAGGCGAACAATTGCAGCTTAGTCATCTAATTTTGCGACTATAAAAGTATTACATGTCATTTAGCATATCCTTGCACCGCAAGATTTTACAAATTTTTTTTTTTAGAAAATTTGGGTTGCTTGAAAAAAGGATTGGATACCACTACCTTTATGCCAATTTGGTCTGGATAGATGTGTATCAGTATGTGTACCAGGTTAAGGTTAGGCCATAATTTTATTCCGATTTCCCTTATATTAGTTCTATTACGAGTTCGGGGACTATCTGTGTTAGCCAATTGAATATGAACCCCTGCCCATAGGTTTCCATCACTTTACACAACTTGATGTAGAATTTAAGGCAGTCAGATTTGGGATAAAAAATATTCCGGTAGTCTAAGTTTCCGTGACAGCAATGATTTGAAATACCTCCAAGTCTAGTATCATTCAGTACATACAGGCATCTCTACCAAAACCTTGAACAAAACTCTAAAGAGTGCTTTCTTCAATATACCTATTTAACTCATTTTTGTTCAAGTTATTTCAGGGTTTGACTTAATATTGTTGGCATTGGAGGTTAAGAATTCGAGGATCCAAGCCAGTGATTCTCAACTGCGTTTCCTCACCATTCTCCAGCGGTTCTCATTATCCTTAAAAAATGGGGGCTCCCGAAGTATGCGAACCAAGATGGCGGACATCGGAACGTAACATTGGCAACAGGTTAGGTGATAATTTTTTTCCAATTTTAGTCATATTATCAGTTCGAAGACTAGCCAAGAGCCTCCCGTAGTATTTATACCTAAAATTATGGCCTAACCCCTAACCTAGTACACATATTACATTCCGATGTCCGCCATCTTGGTTCGCATACTTCGGGAGCCCCAAAAAATGTAACTTTTCCCCGACGATCCTCCTACTTCCAATAGAGGGTTTAGGACCTTGCTTTGAACTGACTTGCATAAGAATTATTTCCAAAACAAACAATTATAAATGTGTAATGGCTGTAAACAAATTTTACAGAATGAAATTTTTATTTTGCAACGAAGGGCAGCAAATTTTAGAGCAGTGGGCCCCAAAGTTGATTGACTGGGCCACCAAATTTAGAAGTGGGAGGATATTCGCGGGTCGGAACTCGGAAGGGAGAATTGCCATCAAGGGGCCTGTACATAAAATACCGGTATAATTGAACTGTTACAAATATACATGTACTTGAACTGTGATAATGACGTAACAATTAGCGGTATCTAGAACGAAAAAACTCTTACACTAAAGTTCGACGGGCCATATTAAATTGTTGCACGGGCCACGGTTTGGAAACCATTGTTGTGGAGTGACGGAGTTGGACGAAACAAACCCTGCCCCTTTTGGCAATCAACCAATCGGAATTTCTTCGCAACGATATACGTAAAATTTGAATCTTACTTAGACACTTGTCACACTGAGAACAATGTCCATTTTTCCCAAAGAGAATTTACAAGCAAATAAATATAATATCCAATTTTTATCATTTTAAACATTGTACAATTTCAGTTTTCTTGAACCTTTCAACCGAACTTTTGCGCCAAATTCGGAGCTGATGGAAGCGTTGGAAACAGTCAAATTTAACTTGTTTCAAATCAAATCTTTTCCAGTAAGAACTTTCAAGTAGATAAAGTTTGACAAAACACTCAATTGCACAATTTCAAAAACTGAATAAATCGTGGAATTTAAAGGATGGAATATTTCTCGCACCTTTTTTATACGAATCTGAGCAAGTACACATGAAATCTAAACACTTTTGGATCAAACTTTTGAGATGAAAAACCATCATTCTTTAAACAGATATCCAGATCATACAAGATACAACACCATATAAAATTAACGCTAACGTAATAATAAATACAAGGGGGTGTTAAAAAGCTCTCTCACCCCATCTTGAGGTGACTAGCAGCTAGCCATTTTTGCTTCAAGTTTATATATTATTATATTATTTGTTTTTATGCTTCGCCATTTTGTTGGGGAGAAGCGGCAACTTCAGTTGGGGCTTGGGGCTCGGAAACCGCAGGTTGGGGCAAAAGTGGGGTCATTTTCGGCAGGGCTGCATTTAGACTGTCCAGAGATGGCAGGGTGACCTGGCCTGCAGCTGGCATTGGGGTAATATTAATTGGGTCAGTTGCAATGGGGTTCGATAGGGTTGGCATTGCGTAACTTGTGGGTAAAAGTGGGGCTTGGCTAACTCCTACAAGTGGGGGTAAATTCAGGGGTGGGATGGTTAAATTAGGGGGCATTGTCAGGTTAGGGAGTTGGGGCATAGGGGGGAGGCCCGCGGGGAGTGTAATAGGGGGAATCCCCGGTATAGAACTCGTAGCCGGTTGTAGTGGTGCTTGCATCTGTGCAAGTGTTGGTACGTTGAGATCAATGTTGTTGCCGGGTAACATTGAAGCGGTCGTTGCCATAGGAACAGACACTAGAGGTGGCACTGAGGCATAGTGAGCCGTGGACTGCCCAGGCAAGGAGGAACTGAGAGAAACCTGTAAAATAGGGTTGGAGTTATGTTCGAGATATTTATCTGTAAAATAAATGGGGCATGTTGCCATATACCCAGGAATTTTATTTGAACATAATTCGAATTAATGCTATCTGAAAACGCCTTGGTCTGCCACATAATTGAGCAACGTGGTTTTCTCCCACCCTGAGAATGTCAAAATTAAAGCCTAATGATTCAAATAGGAGTAATTAGAGTAATTATTTGCCCTCCGTACATGGATGACCAAAGTCTAAAACTAAAAAAATTTGGTACTCCTGAAGTATGCACACCAAGATGTCGCATAACCTGAACCTTAACCTGGTACACAACCTTGAGTTCAGGTTGTGCGCCATCCTAATCATATACTTCAGGAAGTCAGAAAAATTTATTATTCCATATACATACGAAGATTTAATTTAACAACATGGAATATCAAATATTCGAAAATCGGGCCATGCTCGGCAGATCAATTTCGACTGAGAAGTGAGAACTTCAGAATATCAGAAGCTGAAAAAACTAATTTTTCTGTCAATTTTAAACAATTCAAATTATTCCGAAATCAGGAAAACCTACTATATCGAATAGATTATAACCAATTTCAAATGTATACGATTATTTGATTCATTTTTGGTATCTGGAATATCATATTTTACGGAACATAAGATGCACTGTCAATAAATTCCTTAGATTGGGTTTTATTCATCATAAAAGGCGTATCGGGTTATAAAACATAATGGTTTTTAAAAGCAATTATCAGTTTTTGAGAGAAGGTGATAAAGCACTACCAGATTCATACATTAGACTTATAAGGCCACAATCAATTTTTGAGAAAAATAAAGGATTTAAAGTGAGCCGTAATGTCCATAAAATATGGCAGTGTATAATTGAATTATTGATCGTTCATCAATAATGTTAACTGTATATTTATTGTATTTCTGGCAACTAGCATTTCCCAGATGGCCGAGCATGACCTGTGATGTCATTAAGTCACAGATGACTGATTATGACCAACCAGCTGTGAAGGTGAAGTAGCCATGTACTTGAGGGCACATTCCTGTTTGTGTATCTTGGGGTTACTTTGGGTATGTTTTGGGCATTTTAGTTATTATACGTAGGGATGGCCAATACCGTTACCGAATAGTCCACTATTTCGAATACAGTTGAAATTATTATTTTTGAAAATGAAATTTCGAATAAGAATTTAATTACAACCGGGCAGTTTACCACACATTGCGTGCTATTTTGGAGTATAAATGCTTTTATTATTTTGTAAATACGAAAATATGAATCATAAATTATTAATAATCAGGCATTTTATGTCCACAGATTGTTGATGCAACCATGAGTAACATTGGACAAAATTAAATTAATAATAATTTTGAATGATGATATCGAATACGAATATGAATATTTTGTTGACTTTCACTATCATCATCAAAATTATCAGCCAAAAAGCCGACTTGCGACAATTAATTGGTACCATAACAATTTCAACACTAAATAATTTTCATGTAAGAGAAATGAATGTGTAAATTAGAAGCCTTATATGGAAAGGGCGGCAATGTCCACCACGCAACCATGCAAATGTGTCGCAACAATATGCGTGATGAAACGCAAAAATTCTGTATCATTCGGAATTATTTGAAAATCAGCCTTTAATTTGATACTTCAATATTCGAATATTTGATTCGTTTTGGACAACCCTGATTATAGTTTATACTGAGTTAACACTGATGACTCACCTCTGAGAACCCGTCCACTGGTTGTACTAACTGCTGGGCTGGGACAGCAGGGGCCACGGCTACTGAGCTGAGAGTGCCAGGATCTGTCTGCTGAGATGGATCTATAGGTGAAAAAATAGTTTGATTTAGCATAAGGTAGGACAACGTTTCCCAGGAAGAGAGGAATTTTCCTGCCCAGTGAGGCTTTTGATGTTCGTGGGGAGGAAATATGATAGAAAAAAATCATCTACTGAATATACCCTTGCAATGGATGTTAGCTTGAAATGATCGAAGTCAATACTTTTCATATATGACATTTACTGCATCTTAAAACAACCCCTTCTAGGTAAAAGCACCCTTTATTTGGAACGACAAGATTTTTTTTTTAATTCAGCATTGCCTGTCCAATTTATAACACCACGGGTGAAGTGGGGGCGTGAAATTTGAACCCAAAATCCATGACCTATGACCTATAATGCCAACTTATTTGAGAGTTCATAGCTTTGACAACGTTTCCCCACCAGTAAGAATTTGAATGTTTTTACTTTCTATACATTAGTTTGCATCTAGCATTACTAATATTTTATACCTTTCAGTATCATCGAAATGCATATAGAAGCAGACATCGTAAACCATTGAAAATGTACAAAAATTGTTAAGTTGCACGTATTGCAAGGCAAAGTCTCAGATAAAGATAGCATAACAACTGAAAACAAAGTTTTTATGCATAGCGGGGGGGATCAGGAAATTAATAGTAGACAAGGGAGGAACGTTTCAAAAAATGTTTGTTTCAAAAAACCACTTTGCAATCTCACTTATGCTGTACAGAGAACTACCTATCCAGAATTCAATTCAAAAATTTTGAAGGAAAGACAAACCTCTTGCAACCGTCGGTATCCTATGCAGATATCCGTAGCCAATTCCACAACCAAGGTTGCCTTCCCCTCCCCACGCACTATTGGGAGTTATAACAACTTCTCTGAAACAAGAAGGCGAAGTTAATATCCAAAAAAGCACATAAATTATTCTAAAACCCCTTGGTTCTGCATAGGATTAACCTGCTCAAAGCAAGTCAATGGCACTCATTCAGAAGTGAAGGAGACTCATCTCTGAGCAAAGTCAGGGACTCGCTCAGAAGAAAATTTATCTTTGAGCAAAGTAACTGGCACTGACTCAGAAGTAAAGAGACTCATCTCTGAGCAAAGTTATGGGCACTCGCTCAGAATAAAAGAACATTTATCTCCGAGTAAAGTTACGAGCACTCAATCAGAAATAAAGGGATGCATCTCTGAGCAAAGTCACGAGCACTCACTCAAAAGAGTAAAGGAGGCTCATTTCTGAGCAAATTTACGGCCACTCATTCCAGTGGAGTGGACTCATCTCTGAGCAAAAGTACCTGCCACTACTGGAATGTCGAGATTTACACAAAAAATATAGATCTTTGGTGGTGCATTACGCACCAGTGAATGTCTCAAATTTTGACTTTATTAATAACTCAAAGCTCAACATTTAGTCCTGCTTTCAAACTCCAAAATTCAAAAACGTGACGACAACTCCAATAAAACAGTTGATTAATTACCAGCAATCATGAAATGTTTTTTCCGAATAAAAATTCGAAAAATTGTGATACCTTGAACTGTCTGTGTCACTATTATAAACGTATAACTTCAATTGCTTTCCATCATGTGATTCAATCAGTGAAAATAAATCGTCCTGTTCGTTCAGAAGAGAATCTGCTCCGATGATGTAGTCAGAATAAGGACGAAGTCCTGGATAAAAAGAGAGACTAGGATTAATTTATGGTTCTCAAACTGGGCACTCCGAGCGGTTTTCTTAGGGCCACGAGCCCTTCACAGGATATTCGTTGCGACTACATTAATTTAATAAAGTAAAGTGACAATAATTTATTCATACTTTGCTTTCGTTTGTTGGTTTCTTTAATATTTAATGTGGTGGGTGCATTGAATAACTGATGAATCGTATCATTAAAAGCAAAGCTGAGTGTTTTTATAGAATTATGTAGTGACTCAAGCGTTTATAGTTTGGAAGGTGGCAAAAAATCACCAAAGGTTCCTGAACATTACAAACTTATGCCATATTTACTTGGTGTATCACGACAAATTGAAAAAAAATTTGACTTTGTTAACACTGAATTATGAAAAGAAAAGGATCTATTCATACTTTATGTAAATTTTATCAATGCAATCCCATAATATGTGAGCTTGTTTTCGCGCACAAACGACCACATAAGTTGGCATATTCACAAATTTAAATTTAAAATCGGGGCTGAGTCAGATACTTAATTTTGAAGCTAATTCCATTTTCTATGAAACAATATAAGAGCGGGCTTTATACGACACCGAGAAGTACAAAACTTTGTGCATATTTCAGGCTTATAACTTTTGAGCTGCTATGGATAAAATACCAAAAAATGCCAATATTTGAATAGGAAAATCCGTATGCACTGACTGCAAGAATATTGTAGACAACCTGCCCACAATTTTGGGCCAACCAATGTCTAAAAAACTGACAGAATTAAAACACTCTAGATGTGTGTGTACCAATATGGAGATAACTAATTTCGTTCGCCTACTTTACATCAAGTTTCTGTAAAGGGACTGAAACCTACTGGCAAGGGGTATGTATATTCACTTAGCTAATATAGACAGGACCCGGAACTCGTAATAGAACTAAAATAAAGAAAATCAGAACAAAATTATGGCCTAACTTGGTACACACACTACAGGAGTACCATTTTTTACAATACATGTGTATTAAAATCTCACCAGCTAAATAAGCAGGCGAATTCGGTTCAACATCCAAGATATGCCAGACGTTCTCGTTTGCTCCTTCAAACGAGCAAAACCTAATTGATACTCCGAGTAGACCCTGTCCTCCCCAAACACTACTAGGAGTGAGAGTGACTTCCCTCAATTGTAAACTTTTACTGCTGTAAACGAGCATTTTTATCGGTTTCTCAACGTTCGCTCGCAAAATGTCTTTCAATCTGTCATCGTCTTGATTTAATCTTGTGTTTCCGATCATTACGATAAAATCGAAGAACGGTTCCAAACCAGCACGATGGCCGGGTGAATTCTCTTGGACACGTAAGACATGGTAACCCTCGGTACCTCCACCAGGGATTTCAATACTACTCCCCGCTCCCATTATTATTTAAAGTATTTGAAGTTCTATAAACAAAACGAAAATAATAATAATTAAACCATAGAATTCAGTATAATCATGAGGGGGCTGATAAAATGACTTCATCATAAGATGTAATTTTTTATATTTCTCTTGGGAGAGAGGAAGCTGGTAAGATGATTCATTCACATTATATGATATTGTATGTTCAGTCATCATTCCTTGTCGATATCGAAATAAAGTTGTGAGATATTCAATTTTTATAAAAATAGGGTTCTTATATTTATTTTGTGGGAGAATAAAGATAACAAGATGATTTAATTATATGATAGAATATCAGTCGAAGAAGCAAGGAAAGCCGATGAGTTGACTTAATCATATATGGCGAACTGTGGCTTTTTGTTATGTTTAAACAAGTCACTGTTATGAGTCCGTGTCGGGCATAGAAATAGTTACAAGTTGGACAAACTAAAAGATGACACTTGAAAATTAGACACCTGTATAGTCACTTCAGAAAAAGGGGTGTAATACCTTGTAGTAACTCAATACAGCAATAGTTCGGTTTAAAATGTAGTATTTCAGTATGGCACACTTCTCCAATTCCAAAATGTACCAACATTCGGTTCAATAAAAATAACACTCGATTTGTCAATGAAACTCGTCAGATCGCGCCATATTTTTCTCAATATTAATCTAAATTAGCTGTGACGTGCGTAGGCCGTCACATGGCCAAATCATGTTCTTTCGCTAAAAACTCCTGAATGCTACAGTAAATTTTTTTTCTTTGGTAAATCGGAATATTTTTTCCTGTGGAATTCAATGATGACGTTTTTAGATTGCGTTCCCTTTTTAGCTTGTTGCACAATACTGGTTTGCCAACTAGGTATCACCGGAATAACGGCCCAGACTGTCTCGTAAAAGACGTACAGAAATAACAGTGAAATCACTGTTATAATTCATGTCTTCCAATACAGCAATGCAATATCAGAATATGGGGGCTATTCTTGGAATCTAGGAATTCTGAAATTGTGCCAGACTGGTCAGAATATCCTTATCCAAGTGGAACTGTCAGGGCTGCTACTTTCTTATTTCAGCCAAATCTTACTGCAGTGCTGCTGTACCGTACTACAGTACCAAAGCCAGAAAGTTGATTAGATCAGTTTTTTGATTTTACTGACTTCAGTTTTAAATTATATTCTGCTACAAATTGCTGAACTGACAGACTGAAAGAGCTCAGCACTTGCGACCATATTCAACTATTTGTTATATTTTGACTTGATTGGTACAGTCATTAAACTTAATGTACATAACATTCTAATACATAAATCCATAACCCGCCGGAGGCAATCTCGAATTCACGATCCGTGAAAAGCCACGCGGCAACAGAAACAAAACGGCAAGACGTGTACAAGACACGCCGACAACGGGTTTTGAGAAACTTGCATTTTCCTATATTCATAGAATATTTTTAGTGCTTTGGCGTTATAAAAAGTCCCGGAAATGACTGAACTCGACCAAAAATTGACCGAAAAACTTGAAAAAACGTTGACAAAAACCTAAACTAAACTTGAAAATTGTTTTCGCTACTGACGTGGCTGTTCGCTCATGCGTCGCGACCTATTTTATATCCGATTCAAACCGGATTACCGAAGTTGACGCATTCGCGAAAGTATTCATATAACACCGAGGAGAAGATTTAAAAAAACAATTTTTGATTACATAAATTATGATACAGAATTTTAAAAATATTTATACGCTCATAACCTTTTCAAGTCTATACCAATGAGACAATACCGATACATTTCCGGGTTGGGATTTAGCCGTCCCAATGTCTTTTTTAGATAGCTTACTGTTGTATTTTTGGACACGTCAGTGTATATACCGATCCTTTCGATATCATGTTGTTGTTCTTGTTATTCTTCTCCTTCGTCATTATGAAATCGCTTTTCTCTTCAAATACTGGACCAATTGCTTTCAAATTTTTAGTGGTTAAAGATTGTTTTTATTGCCGAAGGCTATTTCTTTTACTTATTACTAAAATTTCTGTGGACTTCAATAGATTCGTTTTTATGTGCCAGAATAAAAATAGCGACACCTTGTTACGTGTCCATATTTTTTAGCATAGCTCTCTTGTATTAAATTAGGATTAAAAACACTATAACGTTTAAATTTATCATTGCCTATTCTGAAAACAACGGGACTAATTTTCTTTAAGAAACAAGTCATCTTTTGTGTTTATTGAAAAAAATGCGTCATAGGTCAGAAGTATGGTCGTGGTTACGCGAGACTGACCAACTATCCTTGTTTTTGGATTTGTGAATCCGTATCCTCATATTGCAGGGTGTTGTAGCAAGAGTAAAGATAACAATGTTAACCAGTTATTTGTTTCAGATGCATGGACTTGATGGTGGAGGAATTATGTTTATTTGCGTAAAAATTTAACAACATCTGCGTAATAAATTATACCAGGTTCAACAGCCTTCCTAACACTAACAGAAATATATTTATGTAGCATTACTTCTGGTCGAAATTTGACAAAGCTTAAACGCTAAAGTTATCTTCGCCATGTCTTAGATTCCTTCATCGAAGCTTCCTTCATCTCCGACCGATATGCTCGTTAAAGGTATTATTAGATATCAGTGGCTTCTTGTATCTTTTGTACCTTGGCTTCTGGAGCGAAAGACGCGAGTAAGCGTCGTATTAAAAAAAAATGGGCCCCAAAAATTGTTGAGCTGGTTACCCTCTGGCTTGAATATAATTCTTTCACAGAATTCAACCTTCAACATATGAGCGTATTAATCAAGTCGCGAACATGGCCTCTCGCTCAGTTATTGAAGGTACAATAGGGCAAGATTACTCATAAATTATACTGTATATCAGGGCTACTCAACTATTTTTATCGGAGGTCCGCAAACAAAACTTCAAAATTATTTGGGTCCGGTATTTCCAGAACTGATATTTCGGCATCTCTAAACGAGCATTTCCTCGACCGACTAATGATTAGTAGCATATTAAAATTGTTTATTAGGGTGTTATATTTCTTTTCCTATATATTCAAAACTATGAAAGTCATTTTATGATAGGAAAGTCAAAAAGTGGGGCTGATGATCCAAAATAAATAATTAGGTGCGGTCCAAATTCAATACTCGAAAGGTCCGGATTCGGACCGCGGTCCGCCAGTTGAGTAGCCCTGCTGTAATTAATGAATTATTTTAGCAGTGAACCCACACGGGCATTTCCGGCGCCATCATTCTACTAATCAGTATCAGTAGTAACTTGCCATTTCATTGGTTGCCCGTGATTTGCCAAGAGATGAGAAGAGAATATTTTAAAGTGAGTCACAATATATCACTCAATTTTCTGAACATTTAACCCGTATTTAGCACTTGACATAAAATAAGTGAATCTAAGTAAATAAGTACGACTTGCGATATGTAGCACTCAGTCACTTGCTTCATTATCGTCTCGCTCTATTATCTCATATTGATTAAACGTGTGTATATTTATTTTAAAATTTTCTTCTATCGTAATTTCATGTTAACAAAGTGAAATTTTCGGAGCTTTTTGTACACTAATGCAAAAATGTGATATTTGAGATAAACATCCCCGCCACGTTTTAAAATAACAAACGAGAATATCGGTCAGAGACCGAAGACTTATCGATCGAAAGTTAGGGAATCCCCCAAAACAGTGTCTTACTCCATAGTGACACCTTGTGTCCCATTACTAATTGATTAATAACTCGCTAATTATACGACATAATTCATTCAAAATCAATAGGCTTCTGGTCCGACTTATGGTGAATGCACATGCAAAATCTGGAGCAGATTCAGTCTCGCTTTCGTGAGATATCGCGTGCATCTAACAGACAGACAGACAAACAGACAAATACCTATCAACATACTTACCGATTAAAATCTATAAATAATTAGTAATTATCCAGTCAGGGTCAGAGTTAGAAATGATTTAAAAATTTGAATCCCAGCCCGATCTGCTATACTAACCCCAACTGGATAATTATTGATTCTCTTATTTTGAGCATTGGCGGGGGTGTTGTTTTTGGCGGGTGGCTTTGATCATAAAAATCCAAATTTTCTTTTATTACGTCGTTACTTGCATCACAGGAAGTGAATCAGTCGTGAGTTAGATAACTTAGGGAAACCCCTTGATCTGAGTAATCATTGATTAACTTTTAAATTTACTGAATAATCTTAAAAGCGCCATTAAAAGCAATCAGCATTATGACATTTTCTTCTGATAAATAATTTGCGAGGTCTGTGGAGCGTCAAAGCCACGTTTTTACAACGCTATTAAAAATAAAATCATTAACTGTTATTTCACGGTATAAACATTCACGAAGAATTATCCCACTTTTCAAATTTACTAACTAACTAGATTAGCAACCAAACGAGAGGCCGTGGTTTGTCATACGATTAGGGCGTCTCGTCGGCTTTGCTTTCCGAGAAAAATACAAGAAATTCACTGATAAGAGTGCCAACACAATAGGCCATCCGTCACGTCCCTGAACAAGATGGCACATTGAAGGTACAAAAGGGCGGGATTACTCATAAATTCTACTGTATATACTGAATTATTTTAACAGTGAACCCACACGGGTAATTTCACTTCAATGGGCGCAAATTCGCCCGTTTTGCGGCTTCAATCGTTTAGTGTGGTAATATTGTTGCGTATGAATGCGTCGGTCTTATTCAATTATGACGACGTAAATGATTTGATTTTAAACTTTTGTCGCGTCACAAAGCTTGTTTGTGCTCCATCGGGAATAAACATTTTGTCATCAGACGAAAGTTTGAGCGAGTCGCTAGTTAGTCTTGGAGAATTCAGAGAAGAATATAAAAGGTACAGAAAGCCGTTTGGTGATATAAATAAACTTTCAGTTTAGCGCAGGGGTGGGCAGGGTTTTTGAACCAGGGATTTAAAATTTTGCTCACCTAGACTGGCGGGCCGTGTAAGCTAAGCGTGACGCAAAAAGTTACATTTTTTGAACAATATTTTCAGTGTTACAAAAACAAAAGTCGAAAACAATGAGCATCATGCCAAAACTAAATTTTATCGCAATTTCAACAAATTCCTTCATTCCTATTTTAAAGCTAAAACATGGGAATTGTGGGTTTAGTTTGGCTGGCCGTGTCAGAGTCAGGCGAGACAGATTGAAGTATCCAACGGACCAGATTTGGCCCGTAGTTTGCTCATTTCAGATGTAACGTCCTTTCTTTTGGGCATCTCCGTAGTGTTTAAAAATTAGTTTTGCTAGTCCTATCTAAATGTGACGAATAAACAGTACAAACGGACGGAATACTCTTGCTCCTTCATTGCTCCGCGACTCTATCGCTTCGTGATATCACAAAATATGTTCCAGAATCCCCTAGTTTTGTTACAATGCTTGTCTGGCAATTTCCGCATAACATAGACATGCGCTGAGCGCTCGCTGTTTAACTGTTGGCACATTTTCTGCCAATTTTTTGGTTATAAAAGAGAAACCTGGTAACAATAGTGAACTTAGCCTTAGAATATTGTATTTTTCTGGGAGCCATATGCCGTCACCAAAAGAGCCATATATGGGTCCGACCTCTGGTCTAGTCCAAAGTAATATTGGAGGAGTGACATTTAAGGAATTTCACCACTCAATCAGATTGTGACGTAATATTTCACATTGCTCATGAAGTCACGTAGTCATATAACTGGATTTCTTTAAAGTACCTATTACATCATATCCGTATATTAGGTTATAATCATTCAGAATTTTTCTATATAGGCAAAGTATAGGAAGAACTTTCTGGGGTCAAGGGTCGAGGAAATATCTTCTCGATCAAGGAAACATCTATGAAATAGTGAATTCCGCATAACCGAAGTTTTTTGAAACACCTATTACATCATATTCCGTATATTAGGTTAGCAATTCGAATGCTTCGACCTCAATACCTTTGATGAGTTAGGTCGTTTATGGAAATGGCTTTCTCGCATTTTCAAATGCGTTCGCCATTTATTTAGAGGAATTTGTGGTTATTGAGTGGCTCATAATGCAATTTGAAACGATTTTTTATTCGTTTCCAAGAATTTAAGGTTTCCAAAATTGATTAGGGTGCAGATTATACCGCCTGTCATGTATAATGTATTATTGCAGTACGTGAGATCTCCAACTGTTTCCGTAAGAGGATATATTTATATTTTTCAAGTCTCTTCTTAATCGGTGTCTCACCTCATATTTCCATGGAGTTCCAATATATTGTGGTATTTTAGTGAATGTCCTTATCCGTTATATTATTTAGAAAGGAGCGTCTTCTGGCACAGACACAGGGGTGAAACTTATTCTCGTTCTCGTTGATAGAAGTGTTATCGTCTTGTTCAGGTTTTGTTTTAGGAGGCCCGCGATAGAATTAAAAATGAATTTTTAAGCATTGCCTAAGCTTAGGTTTCGCATTGAGTAAAATTCCGTCTTTTTTTTTGTGTGTTGGTTGTTCGACTTATTTTCGACAACTCGACTTATTTTACCCTCTGAAAAAAAACGTTAATAAATGTGAACTTAACGAACTTAACACTTCTAACCCCTGACGCAAGCATAGACAAAGTCACTAGCTTCCTGTGAGGCAAAAATACACAAAAAACCTCGCTTATCGAAGTTACCTCAAAATGCATGTGATGGATTAGAATTACAGCAGTATCAGACAGTAATTATACTCTCGCCATGTTGAAAATGTACATACGTGCCCATCAACAACGTATTTTAGCCTTCATTCAAGCTTGATCGAATATAAATGCGTATAATTTCGACATGGTTACCGCCATTGCAGGGTTGAGTCGGTTTCGATCATAAGCAGCATGTGTCGCAGTTTTCATGGATAGTCTTTATTTGATCTACGGTCATTACGGACCAATGGACATCACTCAGCCTGGGTTTAGAAAAAAATTTACATATTTATCCAGAGAGAAAGAAAATCCGACTAGACGATAATACTATCAAAGTAGATTATGTCATAGACTTTATTTGATTCTTATGAACCAAGGGCCATTCTGGGTTAAAAAAAGATATGATAGCGAACCACGGCCTCTCGTCCGGTTACCAATTCATGGTGGGAATGGGATTAGTTAGCCAGTTATTCGTTTCAGATAAATAGACTTGTTGGTGAAGGAAACAGCTTTTGCTCAATTGTTACCATAGTTTTTCGTAAAAATGACTGTTAACTGCAACTATCATGAAATTATGCTATGGGTGTGTAATAAAACGTTCCCTAAAATTGAACCAAAATAACGTAAAACGTTCTCATTCAGGCAGAAATATATTTCTAACGTGCCGCAATACTCTTCAATTGCATAGAATAATTATCTTCACCTTGCCACAGCCACCTTGTATTATATGCATACGAATCCGCTTGCGCAAAGGTATAGAAGAAGGAGTTAGTTCCGCAGAAATAATCTATGTTATGCAGCAAGACACTTGAATCGCTCAATATAATCGTGTTCACTCATTTAATTTGGCGGCATGGTTTAGATTCCAAATGATTTACTATAGATGAAGCTTGTACGAGGAAGTCTAACTCTGTGCAGACAAAAACGTTATAGAAATATATCTGTGTTAATAAGCAACAAGGCAGTTAAGTCACCCATTCTTGCTATAACATACTTTGGGTGAGCACCCAATGATGCCTAAGATAATGACGTTCAATTTATTACAAGCCTTGAGAAGGGCGGAGGCACTAAAGCTGAAAAGAATTCTGGAATACAGGGGTGCATTTCGTGTTGGGAAGAATAATAATTTATTTTTATTTTCTCAGCTTATGTACACTTATACAGTAATGCCCCAATATGTCTCAGCCGAATGAAAACTCACAAGTGTTGCCTCAATTCCGGGTTAGTATATTCATCTTTCTCTGTTTTTGTCGAAACGTTTAACTCAGTAATTGGGATGCGAGTCACCGTTATAAAATCGAATTTAACGATTCATTTTCCTCCTTCATACCTTATCCTCAATATAGCTTTAAACGACAGACACTGATACGTAAACGTGTCAGTACTTCATGCTTGTAAATTGGATTTTATTCGACTCGTATTGGGGTTCACATAGCTTAGACATTTCATGCGGAGGAGAAACTTCAAGAAAAACAAATACATTTTTAACTTAATAATAATTGGAAGAAAATATCACCCTGTAACAAAAAAACTGCATCATCCACTACTGTTACCACCAAATTTAACTAACTCGACAACTCTAGCAATTTTAATAGGTGGGTGGCCCACTTAAAAATGCTCCTGTGGCCCAGCAGTGGGCCATGGCCCACTTGTTGAGAACCAGTGGCTTAGAGAAGGGGTCGGCAACCTACGGCCTTCGGGCCGGATCCGGCTCGCGTAACAATATAATCCGGCCCGCGACGCTTCACTAAATTATAGCAACCAATTATAGCTGTTTTGTCGATTATATTCTTTACGCAGAAGAATTTACGTGTAGACTAAATTATATTATAACGTAACAAGTATATAATTCACAATTACTCGTTTAATGAGATTATAATTTAAATATAATTTAGACCAGGGGTCTCAAACTCGCGGCCCGCGGGCCAGTTGCGGCCCGCAGGACGATAGTTTGCGGCCCCCGCCTGGGTATGAAAGTTTAATGTTAGTGCGGCCCGTAAATCACTCAACTCAGTTAGAATGATTGACGCATTTAATATATGATCGGGACAAGTAGAGCGAAACAAAATATTTTATAATCTATCCCCCGAAAAGAATATGCGGTACGGTAACCTACTAGTACCGTACCTGTGGGCATGATATTCGATGGACCTTTGACCCCGAAGAAAACTTCTTATCCTTACCATTGCAAATTCTTGGTGCTTATTTTAAAGGTGGCTTCGCGAGTTGAACCCTATAAACTGGGTTATATGTTTCACGTCATCATTTTGATTCAAAACATTCAACAACCTGTTTTTTCAACAGTACAGTACCGGTAGAAAAGTTTAGCCTAGTCTATCACAGCTATTTCTAGACTAATTTTTGATTACTGCAATTAAGCTACAACGCCCAAGCAATCAGAATGATCATTGAGTTCCTTGATTTATACTTGAATTTCTGAAACACAACCCAAAACTAACAAATAGCATGCAAAAACGAGGTAATGTTTACAAACAAACATGCCTGAAAATCTTTCTGAGTGACAAGTGTCTGAGCGTTTGCGAAAAAATCTATTGTTACGTCACTTTTTGCACCTTGCTGATTAGCCCATGTTATGGAATAAACAAAAATGTTCGGGGAAAGGTCCATTGCGGAATGCTTTTATTGTGAAAAACCGGATGCGGCCCGGACTCACTAAGGCTCCGTGTCGGCGGCCCCCAGGTAAATTGAGTTTGTGACCCCTGATTTAGACAAATGACAACAAAACGAAGAAAAGTTGATGCTAAGTGCAAATGGTTTAATTAATGGTCAAATGGTCATGGTTAATCAAATGGTCAGTCTTCGCGCGCTGCTTAAAATTTAACTTCTGATCTGTGTGATATAATGTGATTCATCGGCCATCCATTCGATTTTTAACATTCTAAAAATATGTGAAACCCGCCAATGACTTGCATCCTTTAATTTGGCCCGCGAGCGACAAAAGGTTGCCGATCCCTGGCTTAGAGACTTAGAGTGATCCAAGGTTGTCGGCACCGCGGTCACAAATTTATTTTTTCATTGTTTGCGGGCCACAATAGTGCCAAGAATAGGTGAACAATGCAATACAAAACAAACACTTTTATTTTGCAAACGCATAGTTATCAGACATAGCCATCACAGGCTAATATCCGCATTTGATTTTTCTATGATGCCTATATTGTAAGCATATATTCCCGACCAAAAAGATAGAAAGCCATATAATAATTTAGACTGCCAAGCACATCATTCGACTTCGCTATTTGCCTCGGCTAGCCATAACACTAGTCAATTCAGTGACATTAGTGATGTAACAATATGTCAAAAGATTTTTCTGAATAATTTTATTACGAAACAACGCGAAATGCGATTTATGGATCACTCGCCGAATGTGACACGGGCCACAGATAATGAAGCGGCGGGCCACATGTGGCCCTCGGGCTTGGGTTTGGACCATCCTGGCTTAGACCAGTAGGTTCATCAAACTTTCATGTTATCTCTTCCAAAGACTTTTAACACCACTTTGTGATTCTGTATGAATGCTCCGTTTTGGTTTAATATGTTTCGGTCTGTTTTTTGGACACGTTTAGTGGCCATAACGATCGTTTCAAAATTTTGTTGTTATTGTTATTGTTATTTGTCTCCGTCTCCATTTTTAAAAAATCGCTTTTCTCTTCGAATACTTGACCAATTGCTTTGATATTTTCAGTGGTTAAAGATAAAATTTTTCTCCAGAAGGCTATTACTTTTTTTTTCGCTATGACGTCATCAAAATTATTGCCACTGGGTGGCGCTACGTGTCCATATATTTGAGCATAGCTCTCTTGTTTATTCTCTAATTATTATAAAAAAAAACCGACAAACGAAATAAAAACAACAAACTCAATACAGTCAAAAAACTGAACAACTCACAGTTAATTTAATGCAGACATCGCGAATCGTACATTGTGAAGGTTTTTTCTTGTGACCCCCAGAATATTTCTGCTACGGTTTCCATCTGACACGGGCAAATCCGGCCCGTTGGATAATTTAATCTGGCCCGCCTGACGTTGTCACAACCAAACTAAAACCAAATTTAGATGTTTTTGTTAAAAAAAAAAGCTTAAGAAATTTGTTTACATTGTGATTAAATTTAGTTTTAGCACGAAGCTTATTGTTTTCCAATTTTGCTTTTGTAACACTGTGAATATTGTTTATGAAATGTAACTTTTACGTCACACTTACATGGCCACACTTATATGGCCCGCCAGTCTGGGTGGGCAAAAATCTTGGCCCCTGGTCCGAAAACCTTGCCCACCCCTGGTTTCCATGGTTACTCGCATATTGGCTCTTGAAGTCGCTATCCAGTTTCGTTTGGATCGTGCGTCTTCTAGGTAAAGCCAGGTCGTCTCGTCGTATTTTGACGTAAACTTCTTTTAATAAGCATTGTTTGATTTATTCATTACTGTTAGATTTAAATAAGGGTGTCGCTGCTTGATAACCAGTATTGTTTGCTCTCGCCTTCTTGCACCCAAAAATACCGGCGTCGCAGAAGTGCGTGTAGCAATATGGAGGTAACTAATTTTGTTCGCCTACTTTACATCAAGGTATATGTAAAGCGACTGAAACCTATGGGTAGCGGTATATTCACTTGGCTAACACAGACAGTCTCGAACTTGTGACAAAACTAAAATAAGGAAGATCTGAATAAAATTATGGCCTAATCCTAACCTGGTACGCATACTATACGGGAGTACCAAAACCCTTTTTTTTAGAATTTATATATATTCTGTTAAATATATTACAGGACACAAAACTCGGTAAATTTCGCATCGGGAAGTCCAGCAGCGGAGGCGGCTTCTACCTTCAATATGATTGGAAGATTATCGTCCTATATCTGGCCGTGAATCTCGCCTTCCTTACAATGAGTCTGATTTTACTGATTGGGGTGAAAGTGTATGTACCCGGATGGGTTGTATTGGGTGAGTTTATTTTGCATTACAGAATGTTGGGGCGTTATGACTTTTTTTTATCAATGCGGCGTCAAATTATCAGGGAATAAACTCACGGCGCACTTACGCGAGAAAAGGTGCTTTCAAACATGAGAAATAAAGGCAAAAGGGATAGATTTTCAATCGACAATGCCCTTCACTGTCAAGTGCCATATTTGGACACGAAATGTATAAATGGTCCACTTGTTAAATTGTCGTTTTAGTTTTCTTATTGTTGTTGTTTTAAAAATTTGTTTTTCTTCGCAACTATTGCGCCAATTGATTTTGATTATTGGTATTTAAAGAAGGGCGCTCCGAAACTATGTGCACCAAGGTGACACACATCCTGAATACACATATTATGTTCAGGTGTTGCGCCATCTTGGTGCACATACTTTGGGGTCACCTAAAGAAGAAAAAAGAGACAATTATGATTTTAATCTAAATTTGTCCATATTTCCAGGCATCTGGGTTGTCCTCACAATTTGCGGAATCATTTGTGTCGTCATAGAATACTATAGGTCGAGGAAACACGCGTCGAAATCGAGTAAACAAGAAAGGATCGAGATGGAACTGAAGGTAGAACAATCTAAAGTAATAGAAAACATTTCACTCACTTGGTGGAGAAGCCCTAACAGACCAGCGTTGACCTAAAACAGGGGTGTGCAACCTTTAAAGCAGGAGGGACAGATACAAGTAACTGGGTGAACCGGGCCGCAACTTTATTTAACATAGGCTTTCTAGTTTCGGCACAAAAATTAGGTTTATTTATCTTATGACATGCGTTGTTTGCTTCGCACTAGCTGCTATGGCATTGTAACGTCATAGATAATAAATTGGACTCAGCTACAGGCTTTGCAAGTTGCAATGCAAAGGGATTTGAATTATATATTCACACATACTTTATCAAACCAAATTCAAAATTTATTTCGGGCCGCAAATCATTCAAAATTGGCCCTTCTACGCGGGCCGCACTGTTTTTTTTGTGGGCCGCAGGTTGTATTCAAGATGTAAACTATTCACAGCGAGGAATGCAGCAATTCTATCCTTGTCACACATAATTATCTTCCAGTGGGATTCGAACCAGCACAGGGCAATCAGAGGTGCGATGGCAAGCAAATTCCTAATGATTAGCACGATGCGACAGTAATTAGTTTCCTTTTTTCACAATCATGTAAATACACTTTGTACAAACACAACGTAAAAATGGTATCTGAGGATTTAGGGGCGCGCGAAAAATCAATACTGATTATCAAGCAGTGGCACTCGTAAGAAAGTCAAGCATTGTATCACTAAAAAAAAGTGTTCGAGCTTAACTTGATTCCTTTTAATATGTATATCTTATCTCATTATTGGTTGTTTACTGCTTACTTTGAAAAATCTCACATGGAACTAAATAAGAGATTCTTATCACAGGCAACACAGAAAGAGAGTCTCTCCAATTTTCCGTGCGATCCAGTGATGAATCGAGCGATAACAAATCTAGTGTTCCATGGACAGGGTGACTGCGATGAATGCAGGTGTGTACGCCAGTTATTGGGGAATGGTCATTTGTAAAATTGAAAAATGTAGGTTTTCTTACATTCCATATGTGCATACCTTACATATGTGCTACTCAACTGGCGGACCGTTGTCCGAATCCGGACCTTTCGAGTATTTGAGTCGGATCGCACCACGATCTTTATTTTAGATCATTAGCCCCACTTTTGAAGTTTCATTTTATAAAAATAACTTTTATAGTTTTGATTACAATATGAAAAGAACTATAACACCATAATAAACAATCTTGATTAGCTGATAATCCTTAGCCGGTCGATGAAGTGTGCTTTTAAGGATGCCGAATATCATTTCTGGAAAGACCGGACCCAAATTATTTTGAAGTTTTGTTTGCGGATCTTCGGTGAAAATTGTTGAGTAGACCAATGATTCTCAACCTTTCTTGACACGTTCTTCCCTTTGCCGCCATTTCAAGCTCCTAATTCCTAAAAACTCTATTTGCAGTTGTTATTCAATCTTTAACAAATCATTCATCCACAATGACTGCATCTCATATACTCTGGACCTTGTACATTTTGAATAGTTCATAATGTAATCTCAAATATAACCAATGCAACATAGGTTCCCAAATCTCTCCGTACTAAGACCCAGTGCCGCGAGCTATCCGTTTACTCATAAGAATACAAATTATTTTTTAAATACAAAGCAGGAAATACATTCTAGTCATTAAATAAAGAAATTTTAATTTACTCAGGGAAATTAGCCACTGAACAACAATGTGGGTTTTCATTTTCATAAACTCATTATGGGGCTCCGTAAATAACAAGAGAGCTATGCTCAAGTATATGGACACGTAGAGCCACATAATTTTGATGACGTCATAGCGAAAAAAAGTAATAGTCTTTTAGAGAAAAATTCTATCTTCAATCACTAAAAATTTTAAAGAAATTGGTCCAGTAATCAAAGAGAGAAGCGATTTTTTCAAATGTGTCAAAGAAGAACAAGAACAAGACTAGGAACAACATAACAACAAAACGATTGCTGTGTCCACTACGTGTCCAATAAATAACCTCTTCGATAACCCTTTCTTTACAACAATAAGTAAAAATAGTAATATTACACGAAAATACAAAGTGAAATTACTTCCTCCAAAATTTTTAAATTCTTCCAGGGTCGGGAAACGTTTCCCTAGGTCATATATGCCACGGCGATAAAAATTGCTGTAGCGAATTGGTAAATTAAATGCTTAGTGTTTATGTTTTCACTTCATGTACATCAGAATAGTCCTCCTCTGAGAAATTTATAGAAAAATCCAATCTTATAGTGGTTTCAGAAAATTACAAATTAATGTTCAGGTTATTACGTCACAGAGAAGATTACAATACAACTCAGAGAATGACGAGTTATCCGAGCCCGACACCAAGCACAGGTAAATAAAGTCATTACTGTAGTTTATTGGACACGTCAGTGGACATAACAATCGTTTCGCATTTTATGCTGGCATTCTTCTTCTTCTTGTTACTTATCGATTTTAATCGGTAAGTATGTTGATAGGTATTTGTCTGTCTGTCTGTATGTTTGTCTGTTAGATGCACGCGATATCTCACGGAAGCGAGATTGAATCTACTCCAGATTTAGCAGGTGCATTCATCTTATCTCGGACCAGAAGCCTATTGATTTTTGGTGAATTTTGTCGTATAATTAGCGAGTTATTAATTAATTAGTGATGGGACACAAGGTGTCACTGTGGAGTAAGAGCGCTGTTTTGGGGGATCCCCTAACTTTTGATTGATAAGTCTTCGGTCTCTGATCGATATTCTCGTCTTGTTCTTTGACACGTTTTTAAAGTCGCTTTTCTCTTTGATTACTGGACTAATCTGTTTTAAAATTTCAATGCTTGAAGATTAAATTTTTCGCTAGAAGGCTATTACTTTTATTTATTTCAAATATTTCGGTAAACTGTAAGGAATTCGTTTTTTTTGTGTGTGCTATGACGTCACCCGAATTTGACACTAGCGGGCGCTACGTGTACATATATTTGAGCGTAGCTTTCTTGTTTCATTGAGTCATGCCCCTTCCCGGCTATTTCTGATACCATTACGTTTTATTACTTTTTGAGCTTTTTTAATTGTATTCAATAAATTGTGACGTCATAAATTTCCACATTTTACAACCGAATGCTAACGTACACCACTGACAGGACTGGTTACTACATACGAATCCGTGATTCTACAACATGCATTAATCATCCAATTCAAGAGTCCAGCTGCACACTAACACAAATGTATTTCTTTAACGTTTCGTCCGACCAAAGTCATACTTCCTCAGACAAGCAGTTGGACTCTTTAATTTGATAGAATAGTCATGTTTAATGCGGCTACAGCATCCTTGCAGTATACGCATAAGGATCCACTAGACAAGGGTCGGCAACCTTTTGTCGCTCGCGGGCCAAAATTAAGTGTTGCAAGTCATTGGCGGGCCGCACATATTTTTTAGAAAGTTGAAAACCGAACGGATGATACTTTTTATAAATCAAGCAATTTCCTTATTGCATTTCATTCGAATTTTTTCGGCGCCATTGAGCCCTTTGCCCTAAGTATCAACTTTTCTGCGTTTTGTTGCCATTTGTCTAATTATTTTTAAATTATATGCTCAATAAACGAGCAATTGTGAATTTTATATTTGTTAGAATATAATGTAATTTAGTCTACACGTGTCTCACAATAAATTCTGTTACGTAAAGAATATAATCGTCAAAAGAGCTGTTTTGTTACTATGTTTCAGTAGAGCGTCGCGGGCCGGATTCGGTCCGCGGGCCGTAGGTTGCCGACTCCTGCACTAGCATGAAGACATAGAAGTAAGATAGGGGTTAGTCTCACGCAGCCCAATTCAAAGATACATATCTCACTCGGTTTTCTCTCTTCTATAATTACTTGAAATCCTTTCCCATCAAAACAAGCCTGATTTACATTTCAGGCAAAGTGTTTCCAAAGCTTTCAACTCCGATCCTCGCATCAGGAAGTATCAATACCAGCTATCAATCTTCCCCTGCACATTCAGGTCAAGCGCATCTACATGGGTTCCAACGACCGATGCCAGGTACTGGTGTGCTGGCGTCGAGCAAAGCTGGTCATACTTTTTAGAGCCCTAAGCCAGGGACCAAGGGCCGAAAAATTTGCCCACCTAGACTGGCGGGCCATGTATGTGCGACGTGAAAAGTTTTATGACCAATATTTACAGTGTTAGCAAAAGCAAATAACAATAAGCCTCGTGCCAGAACTAAATTTGATCGCAATCTCAACAAATTCCTTGAGGGGCTCCCGAAGTATGCGAACCAAGATGGCGGACATCGGAATGTAATATGTGAACTAGGTTAGAGTTAGGCCATAATTTTAGGTATAAATACTGCGGGAGGCTCTTGGCTAGTCTTCGAACTGATAATAAGACTAAAATAGGGAAAATTGGAAAAAAATTATCGCCTAACCCTAACCTGATACCCATGTTACGTTCCGTTGTCCGCCATCTTGGTTCGCATACTTCACCTTCCTTGAGCTATTTTTTACCTAAAACATTCAAAATTTGGTTTTGCTTTGGTTGTGGCAGCATCAGGCGGGCCAAATTGAATTACCCAACAGGCCTGTAGCAAAAAATAATATTAACAAAACTGGTGTTCTATGTTATCTGAAATTGAATAAGTAAGTTTCAATATATTCATTACTAATCGAGGGCAAGTTACGAACAATTTACAACATTTCTGATACTTACAAACATGGATAAAGAGGTTTAAGATGATTACCGTAGCTACTTGAGAACTTTATTTCAACCAGGCCAATATAGAGGTATGTCACTCATGTGTTTCAATAAACACTGCAGAACAATTGAAAATTATCTATAATTATTTTAATGTTACCCCCATTTTAGAAATATAGGTTAAACAATGTCCTTCAGACCAGGATAGTTTCTTTCGCTATCCATTACGATTTAAACTTGGATGAAATGGGTGCGGTCTATAGAGTATGATAAGACATCTGATGCTGTATTACTATCTGCATTTTTCGACAAAAGTTTTTTTCAAAGCCACGCAAACAGCTTACATTTTTGAGAAATGACATAGCCATGGCGTCATCTATTTACACCTACATAACACACAAAATAAAGCCAAAATAAGTCGACTATCTTGGATCCCCATCAGGATTCAAACCCTAAAGTTTTACTTTTTTTGTTACTGTACACTCATTTTCACACCATAGGTCCCAGCAAGATTGAAGTTCGCGCTGTTGTTGAACGAAGTCGCTTCAGTGAGACGCAGACGAATTTTTCAAGTGATTATTATGACGAAATAGACGATGATGATGATGTTTTTTATAACGCAAACAATAATAATAATAACAGCAACAGAAAAACTAAAGTAAACACGAAAATTTTAATCGAAAACGAGAAAATTCCTACTAATTCGAGAAGCAAATTTACTGGAATCAAAACAAACACTGAAAATTCTTTTTTATCCAGTACTTTCGGTACAGAAACCGCCATTGATCGCGTTCCACTAGTCTACGAATCTCTTTCGAACGATTCATTTGTGTCACGTGGTACGAATAGCAGACGACAACAGCATAGTGACGTAACTATCGGAAGACGACAATCCAAAAAACGTCGAATAACTAGCCGTAGGAGCGGGGTTGTTAGAAAATATTCGAGCAATTCAATAAGAAGAAAAGATAATAGACATAAAAAGAAAACTCCTCCTCGCCAGAAAGCGAAAGATTCGACGAGTCCCTCAGCTCAAAACTACGGATCAATGGACAACCGATCTGGCATTAATGACAGACGAACCAACCAAGGAACAAACGATATTATGATGTCACTACACTCGACGGCACAATGACGTAATTGTTCTGTCACTTTTGATTTGCCAATAAAATTAATAATAAAAAAAATTCCGTCTAGCGTGCACAGCGGCCAATGGTTAAAAACAATGTTGGTGTAGAAAACTAAAGTTTAGGATTCCAATTTCATGCCCAGCGTCTCACTCACCGTGTAATAAACTGGATAGGCCAGCGGTTCTCAAACTTTTTGTTTCTAGGCGTACCCACACAAAAAAAATCGCAAATCGGGCATCGAAATCCGCCAACAAAGCAGTAATTCAACAATGACGTTATCTATAAGTTCCGACAGATAATTTTTACAAACTTCATTGATAATTGTCAACCTCTTCAGGGGCTCCATAACGCCGAAAGTTTGAGAACCCTTGTCGTAGACCAGTGGTCGGCAACGTCTTTTAAGTGAGGACCAAATAGTAAAATTCAAACCAGGGGCGTGTAACCTTAATACACGACGATAGAAATAACTGGGTGAAACCGCGGGTTGCACCTTTATTCAACATGGGCTTACTAGTAGTTTCATCCCACAGGCACAAAAATGTTGGTTATTGATCTTATGACGTGTTGTTCGCTTCGCACAAGTTAGCTGTTAAGGCATTATGACATCATAGGCATAGATCAGAGGTCGGCAACCTACGGCCCGCGGGCCGGATCCGTAACAAGTATATAATTCACAATTACTCGTTTAATAAGCCTATAATTTAATTATAATTCAGACAAATGACAACAAAACGCAGTAAAGTTGATGCTAAGTGCAAATGGTTTAATAGCGCAAAAAACATTCAAATGGTCAGTCTTCGCGCGCTGCTTAAAATTTAACTTCTGATCTGTGTGATAAAATGTGATTCATCGGTCATCCATCCGATTTTAAACATTCTAAAAATATGTGCGGACTGTCACTGACTTGCAACCTTTAATTTTGGCCCCGACAAAAGGTTGCCGACCTCTGGCATAGATAATAAATTGGACTCGGGTACCGGTATAAGTTTCCTAACCAAATGGGTTTGAAATTACTCGCGTACCAAACGAAATTAAAAACTTATTTCTAGACAGCACATCGTTCAAAATTGGCACTTCTCCATGGGCCGCACAAGTTTTTTGTGAGGGCCGCATTCGGCCCGTGGGCCACAGGTTGCACACCATGATTTAAACACGGCGGGGCGGTGTGGCTCAACGGGCTAAGCGTTGGGAATACGCTCGCCACCGCACCTCTAACTACTCTGCGTGGGTTCGCAGGTTCGAATCCCATGCAGGGATGGTTATGTGCGAGAGGATTGCTGGACTCCTCGCCGTCGTTGGGTAGTTCACGTATCCGCTGGTCGGTTACGGCTTCCTCCACCACCAAGTCCATGCTTCCGAAAACAAACAATACAGTAAAACTAATCCCATACCCGACTTGAAATGGTAACCGGACGAGAGGCCGTGGTTCGCCATATGGATAAGCCGTCTTATCGGCTTTCCTCTCCCCCGGGATAAATATGTAAATCCTATCCTAACACATAACTTGTCAAGGGACATTTTAGTTGAAATGATCGTGATGTATGACCGGTTTGATGTATGAAGAAAAATCATTCGGAAGAAAATTTAAATGCAATGTCGGATATATTTTGGGTACTCCTGTAGTATGTGTACCAGGTTAGGGTTAGGCCATACTTTTATTACGATTTTTCTTATTTTATTTCTATTACGAGTTCGGGGACTGTCTGTGTTGGCCAAGTGAATATACCCCCTTGCCCATAGGTTTCAGTCCCTTTACACAACTTGATGTAAAGTAGGCGAACAAGGGGTGTATGCTGCACATTTGTGTTTTAGGCCAATATGGTCTTGTGCATACATCCCGTCTTCAGTATTTATAATTACTTACTCTTTTACATTGCTTCTACGAGACGAATAAACATACATACATACAAAATTAGTTACCTCCATATTAGTGCACATACTTCTGTTGCGCCCTTTTTTGTGTGTACCGGTGGTTCTACTAGTAATCTACCAAATCATCTTATCGGCTTTCCTCAATAGACCTCAAAAATTTTCAAAGACGCAAACTCATATATTAAGAATTTCGCACCAACGTTCGAACAAAATCAGAAAAAAACAGAAATATAGACAGATGCTTTAAGGTTTATTACGAATGAAAGTAATATAAATAAATAAGTCAAGTTTATTTTTTCCAACCAGTAAAAGAATCGAAGTCTCCGTCTCTTGTCGAAGAATCACAAGCCCAAATTACGACAAAATGATAATTTACAGTTTTACTGGGGAATGAAAGTTGCGGGGAACCTAAGCTTGTCATCGAGCAGCGACACCTGAGGTTCGAATATCTAATTCAAAAAGTTAGAACTCTAGAGCAGGGCTACTCAACTGGCGGACCGCGGTCCGAATCCGGACCTTTCGAGTATTGGATTTGGACCGCACCTAATTATTTATTTTGGATCATTAGCCCAACTTTTTGAATTTCCTATCATAAAATGACTTTCATAGTTTTGAATAAATACGAAAAGAACTATAACACCATAATAAACAATTTTAATATGCTACTAATCATTAGTCGGTCGAGGAAATGCTCGTTTAAGGATGCCGAAATATCAGTTCTGGAAAGACCGGACCCAAATAAAGTTTTGTTTGCGGACCTTTGATAAAAATAGTTGAGTAGCCCTGCTCTAGAGTTAGAGACTGCTGATATTGATGGTTAGTACCGTATGGATTATCTAACTAACACTGCTTACCAGATATTGTATAGTAGAGATCAATGCAGTTTGCTTTCTATCATACAAAGTCTATGCAAATGGTTGAAAATATGTGGGCTGACAGACATATTTGTATTAGTCCCCCCCCTTCCCCCTTTTGAAAAGTAAAAAAAAATACACAAAAAGTCATTTTTCAGTTCAATACATAGCAATTTTTTGTGACTTGAAATGCTTTTAGATCCTCAATACTTTTCTAAATCCACGAAACGCCATCTGTTACTATCTAACTTGGCAATTCAAAATTTTAGAACTCTCGCTTTTGAAAATTTCTGGGAACACCACTGGTATGAGAGTAAACTAAATAGTGAAATGGGTCTGTGGCCATTTGTTAGCGTAACACAGGTGACCGTACATTTGAACTCTCGTACATTTAAACCCATGTGTATATCCGCGGGTTCAATCTATATGTGGGTGCTAAAACCCATGGGTTAGGGTTAGTATGGGTTCAAATATCCGTAAAACAAAAAAAAGTGCAATAGTATGCAGGTGCAATTATCGTGGGTTCAAATGTAATGGAACTCGTATCACAATATCTCATTTATAGAATAAGGAAAAACAACAATACATAGTCATTTAGGTAGCTCTCCATGTACCAAGGCTTGTATGAAATAAAGCATAGGTTCTCAAGTGCCATATACGGAGCCCAAAGGCTCTGTGAGAGAAACCTAGGGGGGCTATCCGTTTACTTATTGAAATACTGAATGTTTTTCAAATACAAAAAAGAAAATCAGAGTCATTGAATAAGGTAATTTTAATCTACCATTCGACATTAATCGATAATTAACAATGTGTGTTTTCCCCTTCAATACAGTATATTTATTTTGGGGCTCTATGCGGGATCCATAACACCAAAATGTTGGAAAACCCTAAAATAGAGAATACTTGGTTTCCTACTTGCTAGGAACGTTAAAAATAATGCTGATGGCAGTTGGTACTTCATTGGATGGCAGTGTAATGACCAATTTTCAACACAGTTGAGTCGGTTGGTCGCAGACTGATTTGTTTGAGGGCATGCGATAAAAATGACATATTCAAATTATATGTGGACGTTCGCCACAGCGTAACACGAGGTCTTCTTTATAAAATAAAAAAAAGGCAGTCACTGATATGCTAAAGCTTGGGTGCTCCTGTAGTACTCGTACCAAGATGGCGCACAACCTGAACATAGTATGTGTACCAATGTTTGGGTTATCAGGTTGTGCGCCATCCTAGTACAAATACTACGAGAGCGCCAAAGCTTGTATTGAATAGAAAAGCATAGATTGGCAGTTTTTTGTTTAACTATACATGATATTGAACATTAAAATATTGCTGATGGCAGTTGGTCATTCATTGAATGGCAGTGTATTTTCAACTCAAGTCGAGGATGTGAGCGCCTCTAACACTTGTCTCGATTGGAGGCAGTCGATCGACTAATTTTTTCATGTATTCAAAAAAACTTCCAATTTTGAAATAAAGTTAAAGTTGGTTAAAAATTAAATGAAATCTATTTTGTGTCTGAATATCAGTTAAAATGATCAAGAAAAAAAATTGTGAATGAAAATATTTGTAATTATTAATAAGATCATAAATTTACTATATCAGATGTGAAAAAGCAGGTGAATAACTCCACATAATTGAAGTTCTTCGAAATTTTTTTTGTCTAGACTCTAGAGAGAGTACACTGACAATAAAAAAATGTGAATTCACAACCAATTGAGTACGAAAGCCTACACTTGTGTTGTATTTGTATTCAAAAACAAATGAATGGTGAAATATTCCCATACCCGACATGGACTGGTAAGCGAATAAGACATAATGTGGTTTGCCATAAAGTCGTCTTATTGGACACGTTTAGTGGACATAACGATAGTTTTGTTTTTATGTTGTTCTTGTTCTTGTTGTTTTTCGACACTTTTTGGACACCTAGTGGAAATATTAAAAAACCGCTTTTCTCTTCGATCACTGGACCAAGTGCTTTGAAATTTTTAGTGGTTAAAGATGAAATTTTGCTCCAGAAGGCTATTACTTTTATTTATTTCAAATATTTCTGTTAGCTTTGTAAGATTGTTTTTGTTTGCTATGACGTCACCGAACGTTCTGCGGACATCGGACGCCATTTTGTGTCCTACTGTACTGCTTCGCTTGGTGTGAATATATTTGTAGACTGTGATCTGACGGTACGGTAAACCGTACTGTACTGCAAACAGACGTGTCCATATACTTGGGCGTAGCTCTCTTGTCATCTTTCTTTTACCCCTGGATAAATATGAAAATCCCATTATGTGTTCCATGTGTACAAACTATTATTCAATGTAACT